GGGGTGGTGGGTGGTGGGTGGTGGGTGGTGCGTCCGTTGGGGACAGGGTGGGATCTTGGGGGGTGAGGGCGAGGATGTGGTGCGGGATGAGGAGTTGTGTTGGTGAGGAAGGAAAGGGAGGGGAGGGGACGGGGGTATTGGGATGGTGAGGGTGAGGGTGAGGGTGCCAGATTGAAATTTCCTTCGCCTGCGGCAATGGGAGTTGCATGTCGGTTGGGTGGAGCGAGATGGTGTATACTGTAGCACGCAGGAGAGTAAATTTACTACAAATTGTGGTTTGTACTGGTAGAGTGTTTGGATGCAGAGGTATCGTTGCTATCTTGACGATACTGTACTGGTACATATGTGGTGATTGATATCTTCATCCCCCTCGCCTCGCCTCGCCTCCATCCTCAGATACGTCGTAATAAAGCCAGCATTCCAAGACGATGTGTTGTTGATACGGGTTATTGATACGGTCGGTACCTGTTTTTCGCGCCAAACCGAGAAAACTCCCACCCACCTACCAATCGCAGATGGCTAGCCGGCTGTATGTACATACCGACGAGAGTTTGCAGCAACCAGAGATTAGCAAAGTCACCCCTCGGATTGGCCCATGGAAGTTGGGGCCGCTGGGCCTGCAATATTGGTGCTATATGATAGGCACGATGCGTATCAACCGACCTGCAAGTGGTGCATAGAGTACTCGAGATGTATGTATGTACAGACTTAGACTTCTACATAGGCTTGGTACGACCGTCCATCCACCGATAAACGAAGGGAAGACGAAATGAAATGCATCAACTTTTGTACAGTACCACGATACTTCTACTTCTAGATTGGATCCTCATCATCATACCCCACCGTCCTGTACGACGAAACCTTTTGAGAATGTCGGGCATTTCCACAACCATATTCCGAATTTCTGGGGTTCAAAGTCAATCTCACCAGGCAAGGAATGCAATGTCGTGATCTACGCGGTATGGAGTAAATTTCCACGATGCCAATGCCAATGCCAAACAATGCCAGTCATTATTGGCTCCAGCCCGCTCGCTGTTTGTTGGCGTTTGATGGAACTTTTTATACTTCTCATCCCACAGCACCGCACTGCTGCACTGGTGATGCAATATCATCATCGTGCTTCAAATGGAGTCTCGTCGTGAGCTTTCTCTCCGCATCGCATCGCGTCGCATCCCCATCCTCATCCCCCGGCCAGCCAGCCGGCCAGCCGGCCCACGTTGATGAAAAGTCGGCCTATCAAGAAGATGCCCAGAAAGGTAGGCGAACCCAGGAGAACCCCCTTGGGGTGGCTATTCTCAGCCTATTCGGAACCTATTGGGGGTTGGCAAAGTCTTGACTAAGGTTCTATCGTGCCTGCACTTACAAAGTAACATGGCCTGACGTGGTTTAGTTTGAGTTGGGATGTGGAAGTAGCGGATGGCGGCTGTGGTGATATACTGTACTATACATATAGTACACAATACAATGCAATATAGTTGGTCTGGGATGTAGGTGCATTAGGTACAGTAGAGTTAGTAGAGCACAGTAGGTAGAGCAAGATAGGGAGTACCAGTAGAGTAAGGAAGGGAGTACCAGTAGAGTAAGGAAGGGAGTACCAGTAGAGTCTTGGAGAAAGTAAAGCAGCTGCATACAACACACACTTGCCCACGGGCAGCCAGGCTATTACATGATTACATCAGAGGAGCTTTCGAAGCTCAGAAGGCGGCATTGGCAGGCTTCAGCTTCCGCCACCACATCCGTCAGCCATGATATGATTGACCAGTCTCACCTGAAACTTTTGTACTTCTATACAGAACACACTGACATCTGGGGGTCCCGGGGGTTGTAGAGTGGTAGTGGTGGTGGATGTACCGGAGTGGTGGGGGTCCCCTCGGTTGGCACTTTCACCTTCCCTGCCGGCGTGTCGATGTAGCAAAAAGGCGGCCGGAGCCTATCTCAACCTTAATCTGGCGGTGGCAGTAGTAGCAGGAGCAGTAGCAGGAGCAGCCGCCTCACTTGATGTCTGTGATGTCTTCGTACACGCACTCGTTTTACCGTAGTGACGGATAGCTGGCCAGGACTACCCGAAGGAGATGAGGATCTATCGTATGGCGATTGCCAAGCACGCCGCTCGAGTGCTGGGCTACGCTGGTTCATTGCCTGGTTCATTGAATCATTGCTACTGTACCAAGACTTTGTTACTTTGTAAGTACACTCACTGGCTCGCCTGGCAGGTGGAGAGGCTGCAGAGGCTGCAAAGGCTGCAGAGTCTTCATGCCCTGGTCTATTCGAGTCCTCCATATACTTTATAGGACCCTGGTCTAAAGTGGTATCCATGGGGGGAGTAGGCAAGGCCCAGGTCACTAAAGAGCCGTTTTAGCGTGGCCCGAAAGAGGCTTCACTGCTGCAGCCCTGGCTCGCCTGGCGCTGCTCTCCCCCCTCTCCCCCTGTCCCCCTCT